TTTAGATTTTGAATCATTTACAAATTGGTTTCATAGACTTAACAAAAAAACCCCCAGGGATTATATTTCTTTCTTGTTCATCTAAGATGTACTACTGGTTACCAAATCATGGAACATTTTTACAGATATCTTGATAGCCAGCCTTGTTTTCGATAAACCAACTATATCAGTTCCTAGAAATTGACTTAAAATGGTGTATACTGCTAACATGAAAATATATGAAAATAAGTGACAAGAGATCAATCCTTTATGTTTTTACTCTAGTTTAAATATTATATTTAATTTTGATCCATTGTCTTCCAAGGCCAGCTTATAGTTGCAGTGAGCATAATGCTCATTCTTGGCTTGTGGTCTTTGGAATATTTACTTTTTGCAGGTAGTTACTCTGAGCATTTCTTTTTCACTGATTTTGGCTATTTTAAATATGCCCATTTTGAGGGGCTTTGCTTATTTGTTTCTTATTTGTTTTATATGGTCTGGTATTTTACTATTTTGAGTTCTGCCCTTTCTCAATCCCCCCTCTCTTCTTTCCTTGTGTTAAATTTCTTATTACTGACTCTCATTGGAAATGTTCCTTATCATTTGAGTGCTTGTCAGCCTAGACACTCCACGTATAATCATTTAATTATTCTTCTCTCCTCCAATCTCATAGAAATTCTTCTTTTCATTCTTTGTCTCCCTAACACATAGTAACTCCTTTGAAATATTTAACAAGTGAATGTACACAACTTTTTTATATTTAGAACACAGACTTTTGTTACCCTCCCTCCCTCCCCCCTCCCTCCTTCCTTCCTTCCTTCCTTCCTTCCTTCCTTCCTTCCTTCCTTCCTTCCTTCCTTCCTTCCTTCCTTCCTTCCTTCCTTCCTTCCTTTCCTTCCTTCCTTCTTTCCTTCTTTCCTTCTTTCTTTCTTGTGTCATGGGGCCTGGGAGCTGCACCTGAGCTTTCTTTGCTCAAGGCTAGTACTCTACCACTTGAGCCTCAGCTCTACTTTTGGCTTTTTCTTGGTACATTGGAGATAAAAGTCTTGTGGACTTTTCTGACCAGGCTGGCTTCAAACCACTATCCTCAGATCTCAGCCTCCTGAGGAGTGGGAATTACAGACATGAGCCACCAGAACCCAACTTAGACCACAGGTTTTGAATTCAAATTTTAGTGATGATATTGCTCTTTGAAAGAAAGTTGCTGTCAACAGATCTCCTCTGAAGTTAATTTGAGGATCAGCTATTACTTTTACATTTGGGGAAAAAAATAAGGACTATAGCTTATGAAAATGACAAGCATTTTCAGCATCCTTTACTACAAGTAAACTAGTGTTGAAATGTTGGATTGATGCTTTACCCATTTTCCCTAGTGCTTATCTATTTACACACCAAATTAACATCTTTATATGTCAGTGACAGAGAGGTTATTTGTAGATCTCTTGACACTTCTTCCTGGTCCTGACCTTTTCTTTCTTCCTTACCCACCCACTCATCTTGTTTGAATATGCTGGAGAAACTAATTCCTTAACATTTGCTATGTCATTTCACCTTTAGCATTTGCTCTTTAGTTTACCAGCATTGCCTCGTACCCTGTCCTTCATGGAGGTCTTTACTAAATGAGCTACTTACAGAAACACCTGTCATTATCCTAGCCCATGCTATGAGCTCTCAGCGTCACTCCTCTAGTATTTCCTTTTCTCAACAAATATGTACCATATATCATTCACAATACTGAAATCAATGCATAAAATTTTCTCTGTCTCAAAAATACCTATACATACATATATGAAACAATTTGCATTCTGCATAAAAATATAAAGTAGAAATAATGATTTATAAGATTATGTGATACATTTAATTAGGTAATTATTTAGGATTGAGCCAGAAGAACAAATGAAGTAGATGAATACTTTTCCCTGTCTTTATTATCATCTTGAATATAGTGGTTAAAAATGTCTTTTTCTCTCAAAATAAGGTTTTCCAAAATGAGGCGCTCTTGATAAATTCTTCTGCAAGCCTAGTGGTTTCTGTCATAGAAAGTGTTGTGCATATGAATATGCATATTAAACTATAGTACAGCATAGTGAAATATTCAGAAGAATATATATAAAATAATGTATGTCAATATTCTGAAAGTTACTGTATGCAACAGTATACATGCTTTATTTTCTAATATATCTATTTGCACTTGTACACTGCTAGGATGTACACTGGGTGCCTAATGCTCACTTCTTAAAGGAGAATAGTATACTTTTGTTAGGCACATAAAATATGCATGGAATTTTTATCTATGTAACAGTTCAAATGCTACCCTTCTGTGCAAAAACAGATGCAACACCAAGTAATAAAACATTTGAAGCTATGGCTTAAACATTTAAAGCTATGGAATTGTTGATCAATGCCCCATCTCTTTGCCAGTTATAGTCCTTGTATTAGTTTTGGTCTTTTGTGATGTATTTCTTGTTCTTTCCTTGGCAATATTAACAAACCTTTTAGGTGAGTGGAGTTCAGAAAGTATTTGTTGCACATCTAGTCTTCCATTACATCCAGATTTACAAGGAGGGCTATCTATCCTGACACATATCCCCTCAACATTTCCCAGTGATTTTCCATGATGACAGGCAGGGCTCATGGAAATGGTGCACTTGGCTAGCAAACATAATAAATTTTGCCAACGTGATGCCATTAGTGTTCACTAGACCATCTGTAACATTTTTACTTTTGCTGTCATTACAAGAATATACTTAAGGCTAGGAATATTATAGTTTATTTGAAGACTTTCAGTTTTGTCTGTGTATGGAAATTAAAAGAGTTTATCATCTCATAATGGTAGCAAATGTGATTATTTAAATATTAAGAACCTGGGTTATTACTAAAACTGGTATTTTGATGTATTATGCTTGATAAGATCATCAGTGTTGTCTTCCCTATTGCACATGGTTTATTTAAGTGGGAAATAAATTTCTTATAGGAGTAAATAGTTCTCTTAATGAGGATGGAGAACTCCTAATATGTCTGTATTTCACTGAATTTAAGAAGTTGAATGGTTCCAGATGGTTTCATGTGTGCTCTGTGAGTGAGCCCTCTGACTAAACTGGATCCAAGAATCATGTTGAAGTGATATCAAGGGTTCTTAAAAACAGGAGCAGTGATATGCCTGTAGGGGGAAATCTCAGTGTTAGGCGTTTTTCTAGCATAAATTAAGTTGCTGTTGGCCATTCATATCGGCATTTATGAATCAACAATATTGTAATGTCAGGCAAAGAAGCATGGCATTAAGATAGCTTATAGGACCCCATGCTTTCTTGTGGAGTGGTAGTTTGGTGGTGGCTAGCTCATTGATAATGCAGTGGAATATGGTTTGACTGTGTCCCAAATATTTATGTATTGGAAGTTTGGTGCCCTGTAGGAGTTGTGAGAAGTTAAGAAGTGGAGCCTAGTGGGAGGTCCTTGGGTCATTGGTATATCATCATTTGCATAACCAAGTGCAAGGCCTCAAGTTGAACCCATAATACTGCCAAAGAGCAAAGTTCGACAGACAACACTTTTAGTTTGCTATCACAGATGGTTAAATAAAAAGAAGGAAAATAATGCTGAAAGGTGTGTGTGTGTGTGTGTGTGTGTGTGTGTGTGTGTGTGTGTACACGTGTGTGACAGCCCTGGGTTTTGAACTAAGGCCTGGGCACTGCGCTGGCCCTGACCTTTTTCGCTCAAGGCTAGTGCTCTACCATTTTGAGCCAAAGCATCATTTCTGATTTGTTTTTGTTTTTGTAGTTAGTTGGAGCTTAGAGGCTTGTGGATTTTCCTGCCAAGGTTGATTTTGAACCATAATCCTCATATCTCAGCCGCCTAAGTGCCCAGGAGAAGAGGCCTGGGCCACCAGATGCTGGCTGAATGTATTCTTTCTTTCTTTCTTTTTTTGTCCGTTGTGGGGCTTGAACTCTAGGCTTGGGCGCTGACCCTGTACTCTTTAGCTCAAAGCTAGCACTCTACCACTTGAGCCACAGCGCCACGTCCGGAATTTTCTCACGGGCTTTTCTGCCTGTCCTGGCTTTGAACCATGATCCTCAGATCTCAGCCTCCTGGGTAGCTAGGATTACAGGCGTGAGCCACCGGCACCCAGTTGAATGTATTTTTATTTTAAGAAAAGCAAGTTCTGAATAAGGATCAAAATCAGTTATTCCAATCACCACTGATTTACAGCTGTAATCCTAGCTACTTCAGAGGCTGAGATCTGATGATCACCACTTGAAGCCAGTGTGGGCAGGAAAATCCAAGACACTCTTATCTTCAATTAAACACAAAAAACGCTGAAAGTGGAGCTTTGTCTCAAGTGGTACAGTGCCAGCCCTGAGCAAAAGAGCTCCTGGATGGTGCCCAGGACCAGAACAAACAAAAAATATTCTTCGTCTTAATACATTAAATGTACTATCCCTTGTCTCAAATACCAAAAAAAATATGTACTGATTGAAAGAACTAAATAATTTATAAGAGCTTTCCAATCAAATTACATCCAAAGTTCTAAGAAAGAGCTACTACATTAAAAGGAAATGTTGGCTCTCTAGAAAATAGTTTGCAATTCAAAGTGCACAGTTGCATTATTACTGCACTATTGAAGAAGGGCAGCAGAAAATGAGGGAAGGGATAACACTGTTTGAAAAAAAATGTACTTATTACCTTACTTATGCAACTGTAACCCCTCTGTACATTGCCTTTATAATAAAATTAAGAAAAACAACAAAAACAGAAACCCAAAAAGAACACCATCGTTTAATGCACACTTCAATGAATTAATGTTTTGCAGATTACTAATAGTCACTAACATTATTTGGGAGAATTGGGAATGATCTGGTTTTTATTAAGTGTATTTATACTTTATGATGCCTCAAGTTAAGTCAAGCTTTACTACAGATGCTAAGAAATAGAAAATATACATTTTTTTCCTCTGTATGAAATTATCTTTCTCTAAAGGATAAAGTTGACTGGATTTAAAAAATACTTGGCTATTATTTTTCCAGAGAGCTCAGTCAGATGAACTGGAAAAAATTGAAAAGCATGGCCGATCTTCTAAAGACAAGGAAACTGCCAAGTCTCTGGACAAACCTGAACAGTAAGCTGCCTTCCGGGCCTGTGAGGGAAATTCAGGCTAGGAGTGGACCCTTGCATGCAGAAATTACCATGTCTTGAGGATGTAATTGTCATGAATTAGACAAGAGTAAACGTCTGTCTACATGAATTATATTCTTTTTCTCTGAACTTGCCTTTATATCCCTAGGTTCCTTTATGAGCTGTCGCTCATCCCCAACTTTTCAGAACGGGTCTTTTGCATCCTCTTTCAGTCCACATTTTCAGAAAGTATTTGCTCAATTCGTCGCAAATTGGAATTACTCCAGAAATTGTGTGAGGTAGGTTCTGGGACAGAGAATATTGAATTTGAGTTATGAAACTTAATTTTGTTCCATCGTCTTTGTATTTCAAATCAAGCCTATTTCCAGTGTGAGTGACAGTAATTATCCAGATAGAAGCTTTTTAAAATTTTTTATTGTTTACTTTTTTAAATTGAGCTCCAAGATCAAAGTCTATGTTGAGACTCGCATGCAGAGTTTCAGGATCACATCAAAAGAATGTGACCAGAGTGCACCGGCCTCCAAAGGGCTGCATTTCCACTTTTGCCAAAACTCTTCATATTTCATGCCCCGCTCAGGCATCAAAGTTCCAAATCCCATGTGAAGGCAGATTATTTACTCGGCTTCACTTTTTGGAATGGGCACACCACAAATAGTTAATGTCTCCTCCAATCAGATGATTTAGGAACAGCCATTTGACTTGACAAAAGATATATAGTCCTCTAAAAACAAAGCAATGTTTGGTAGACATGTCCAAAATTAACATTTTGAACCATCAGTCAGAAATCCACAGTACCCTTTGTTCTGGTTGTAGTCAATCATTTTGAAAAGAGGAAAGTTGTTATCAAAGACAATTTTACAGGCAATAATACACAAATTGAATACACAAACAGTGTTCTGAAAGAAGTAAATATGAACTCTTTTGGGTAAACCAATGTTTGGAATTTCATTGCTAAAATGGATTATTTTCTATAACTTATTCAAAAATGTGTATTGTTGGGACATAGCACACTTAGAATGATGGCAATGTGATCACCTATAGTAGTTCTCATGTTATAACCTTGTTTACTGTGCAAGTATGACACAGACATGAACAACGTCAGCATCTCCCAACTGACACAAGTGATGGTGAAATCTGTTAAAGTTAACTTTGCTTTGAAAATACTCATAGTAATGGCAGCTAGTCAGACCTGTAATCTTATTGACTCAGGAGACTGAGATCTGGACGATCTTGACTGCACAAGGCAGAAAAGCTTGGAGTCTCTATCTTTGATTATCCAGCAAAAAAACAGGCTGGAGATATGGCTCAAGTGAAAGAGCACCAGCCTTGAACAAGATAGTTTAGTTCAAGCCCTGAAACCACCACAAAATATATAGCATCTCATACTTGGGAGATAGACATACATACACACACACACACACACACACACATATATATATATATATATACACACACACACACAAATATATATATATATATATATATATATATATACAAATACCTAATAATGAAATATGACATAGTTCCCATGCTGTCAATATAGTAAAAATAGTTGCTCAGAAGAATGCTATATAGGAGTATAATCTTTGTTATGTTTTCCCGTCTTTGCAGACATTAAAAAATGGCCCCGGGGTGATGCAAGTCCTGGGTTTGGTTCTTGCATTCGGCAACTACATGAATGGTGGCAATAAGACTCGGGGTCAGGCAGATGGCTTCGGATTAGACATTCTCCCAAAGCTGAAAGATGTGAAGAGCAGTGTAAGTATTTTGTCCTAGAGGAGAGAGGCAAATGAAGAATATTTTGTTTGAGATTTTGTTATAATAAATATTGCAATATGAAAATAAATATTTATAGTGCAAGATCAAAAGTGTCTTTATATTCTAAGCTACATAAAAGGAGACCATTAAATATTTGAGAGTTAAGGGAAGGAATAATAACATGTGCTAAAGTGAGTGATTTGGAGTCTTACGTTTGATGAATAAGTAGAGTGTTTTAATAAACAAGTATTTTTTCAGTCTCTATCAAACCTTTTAATATTTATCCTTTTATGGATGTGTGGGCCAATAATTTGCTGTGAATGGAATGTTCTTTTATTATTCTCTATGTATAGCACCAGAGGCCAGAAACTCCACACTCTCAGAATAAGGCCAAGTTGAGTGCAAATAAGCTTTTGTGAATAAAGTATAAAAGATGGTACTGAGCTTCAGGCCTGTAATCTTTGATATTCAGGGTGCTGATATCCGATGTCAGCTAAGGCAGTAAAGTCTGTAAGATTTTTATCTCCACTTACCCAACAAAGTGCTAAACTTGAAGCATGACTTTGTTTTTTAAATAAGTTTTTTATTGTGAAAATATGGTACAGAAGGGTTACAGTTACATGAACAAAGTAATAAGAACATTTCTTATCAAGCATTGTTGCCTCCTCCTTTGTTTTTCCCTACCATCCCTTCCCTCCCACCTCCTCAACTACACTCCCTTCCCCACCTAAATTTTAAAGAAGTAAATTATCACTAATTATATGTTTTTTATGTCTTATTCTATATTCCATTAAATTGAATTTTATTATGGACCAATGTAGAACAAAAGTTAAATACTGAACCAAGAAGCAAGGTTTTTTTTCATTTTTGTTTTTGTTTATGTGCTGGTCATAGGGCTCAAATTCAAGGCGTAAATATTGTCCTAGAGGGTTGTTTTGCTCAAGGCTAACACTCTACCACTTGAACCACAGTTCCATTTCTGGCTTTTTTGCTGCTTAATTTGGAGATAAGAGTCACACAGACTTTCCTCCCCAACTGGCTTTCAAAGGAAATGCTCAAATGTCAGCCTTTTGGAATGTTAGGATTATAGGCACAAGCCAGTAGCTCCCGACCCACCCACACTCAGTGAGAAGCAAGGTTTTTAAACATTGTTTTATTTGCCATCTCAGAAGGGATATGTAATGTCTTATAGAAATGGTGGAGAAGTGCAACCATATCTACTATTCAATAATATTTGGCAACATTAGACTGAGCTGTTATCCATATCAGTCAGAATTTTCTCTTGACATGACTATCAGCAGGCTTTTATGAAATGTTTTATTCCTTTTCTTTGTACTGTTGTTTTATTAACTTTCAGGTTAGGAGAGAGGAAAGACTTTAATTTGCTGAAAGGATTTTAGAAGGAAATCTTTAATGGTCATGTTTCTATCTCATGTCAAACTTGATTATGAAAAGGTGCTACTCTTATTAAATTTATGTTTAATTCTTAGAGGCACTATCCTTCCTTCAGTGTTGCTCTTATTTTATTTGCCAGTTCTGGAGCTTAAACTCAGGGCCTGGGCACTGTCCTTGGGCTTCTTTGGCTCAAGGCTAATACTCTACCACTTGAGCCACAGTGCCACTTCTAGCTTTTTCTGTTTATGGGTCACTGAGGAATCAGGGCTTCATGCATGCTAGGTAAGCACTCTACCACTAAGCCACATTCCCAGCCCAGATGTTGCTCTTTTTGTAGAGAAAATGCCCAGATTTTTTTTTAACAGTTACATTTAACTGTTTCTTTAAGTTTCTTTAACTGTTTCTCTAAGACTATCTTTAGGAGAAACACGGTTCAAAACGTGTCCCACTGCAAGTGCTACAAGTAATGGTTATAGCCAGAGATAAAGAAGTGATACACAGAACAATTGGATGGAAGGAGGTGGCATATTTACTTGATACAGCCATATTTTGTCAGCTTTCTGTCTCTGCTGGCTGAAGTTCAAGTACTATGATTGGCTGAGATTCAATTGCCTTTTGGTATTCCAGGGTACCTGGTTCCAAGGAGATTAGCACTGAAGCAAAACTAGGCATGCTCAGGATGTGTAGAATTCATTCAGACTTGTGCTGTAGATGATAAATTTTGCCACACTGCCCAACCTTTATGAAAGACATGTTGCCTTTCAACAAATCTGAAATCTATAATCTATCACTTAAGTGCATGGGAAGCCAAGTTTCAAAATTGAATTTCAGGGAAACAATCAGCAGATTACAAAACAATTTAACACAATTGACAACAACAATGTAGGACTGACTAAAAGCACTTCATATCCACTGATCTACTTAACACACACACACACACACACACACACACACACACACACACACACACACATGCACGCACGCACACACAGAGGAATTTACATTTTTTGTTTTTCAAATTTCTTTTTATTTATATTTCATTTTATCTCTTTTAAATACTCTTATTCTCTTTAAGGAGTTGTACAAAGGAGTTGCTGTTAGTGAATTATTTTCTGATTTTTTTTGCTGCATTCAGTCAAAATGGCACAGAATAAATCTGCAAATAATACAAGCTTACCATTCTATTAGTTTAAACAGAAAGCTAACTTTCAGTTTACTATATAAGGAGGCTACTTTGAGCCATGTAGACTTCAAATTTGTCTCAGCAGAACAGCTGTAATTGTCAGAGAATTTAATTTCTATCTCAGACTTTTGTGTAAACATAATGTGTATGGGTGCTCTCTCCAATTCAAATTACGTAATGGTAAGATGAAGCAAAACACAGATGATAATTAAATATGAATATCCCTAATGTGCCAGAAATGAAGTGTAAAGCTATTTTTGAAGAGAGTTATAAAAATATTTTTAAAATATTGCCTTATTTACTTACAGTTGAGTAAGTATTATTTCTTCAGTCCCAGTTGTTGATATAATGAATTATAGTAAGCAGTGGCATTGTGAGGAAGAGACTGACATACAAGATACACTGTGTGCAAAAAATGGAGATGCTAAAATGAAACTTTGCTCTACAACTACTTGATGCTAATAAAAACATCATTGGGAATGGGATAAATAAGCAAAAATTCAAACCACCTGAAATACTACTTTTCTATTTTCTTAGTGTAAAGACTAATGAAATTTCATCATTCTTATATTTGGAGCTATATCAGCTGTACAGAAATAGTAGCAATACTTCCATCTTGTTTCGTCCCTGTTTTGATAAATATTTTGGTATAATTAATACACACAAAAATTGAAATAACAGGAGAGTAAAACAGGCTGGGATGGGGGATGGGTACCATTGGGGGTTGAGAAAATAATAGGGGAGGGTACATGAGGATGAACATGATCTAAGTTTACTTGCATATGAACACATCATAATTTTTGGAAATGTCACAGTGAAACTCTCCTTGAACAACTAATGTATGCTAAAAATTATAAAAATAAAAAAGTAGCAAACCAGAATTCATTCTAAGAGCATCAAAAATCAACTGTGAAAGCTAAACAAAATTCCTCATGGTAAAAGCAGTGAAATATTTACAGTTGAGACTTTTACCTTTAATTAAATTTCATGCTTCTGCTTAGAGTTTAGATAGGATTAATGAGAAAATTTGGTCTTTAATTTTTTTAGGTATGATGACTGAGGCAATGTAAAATTTTACTTTCCACCTGAAATACATGGATGTATTTAGATTTATTGAAATTTATGTTAGGTAACATAATACACTGAATAATCTTCAAAATCATGTCACTTACTCTCATCTCTCTCTGCCAGGATAACAGCAGGAGCCTTTTGTCATACATTGTTTCATATTACCTTCGAAATTTTGATGAGGTAAGACCATTTGTACAATCTTTTATTCGCTTCATTGAGTGATTTGAAAGAGGTTCTTGTGTTTGTTTTTCTTAGTTTTTCCTATTGTGGCAATTGCATAGATTTTATTTATATTGATGTCAATTTGTTTAAAAACATCTCATTTGTAATTAGGATGCAGGAAGAGAACAGTGTGTCTTCCCACTGCCAGAACCTCAGGACCTTTTTCAAGCATCCCAGATGAAGTTTGAAGACTTTCAAAAAGATCTCCGGAAGCTAAAGAAAGACTTGAAAGGTAAATTCAAATCTTGAATGTAAATTGTTTACTTATTTTAATGAGAGCTGACAGACTTCTCAGTGATTTTGAAGGATCAATAGACTTAAGCCTAATGGATCTAATTCTTCTGTGTGTATTGTTGAAGAAACATTTGAAAATATTTTCTCTTTTGTTGTCTAAAAAGTTGTATGTTGCAGTTCTGCTTCGTAAAGTTTCTTTTAGGTCATTTGAATAACAATCCATAAGTTAAACATTGTGTTTTTCATGTATAGCCAAGAATATTTGATGTTTATCATGTCATGTTTATGTAAAATCATGTTATTATTAGTAGGTAAATAGTTCCTGCTCCCCCCACCCCTTGGTATACTTACCCAAGTTTTTGTGGCTTATGAGCATATCTGGACACACACACATATACATTATTTTATTATGTATGGGAGCTTTACACCAACTCATTTTGAAGAGACATGGTAAGAAATTCCTGAAATGCCAATGGAAGCTGAGGGCCAGTGGCTCACGCCTGTAACCCTAGCTATTCAGGAGGATGAGATCTGAGGATCATGGTTCAAAGCCAACCCAGACAGGAAAGACTCCTTATCTCCACAAGACTTTTTATCTACAATAAGCTGCCAGAAAACCAGAAGTGGTGCTGTGGCTCAAGTGGTAGAGTGCTAGCCTTGAGCTGAAGAGCTGAGGGACAGCATCCAGACCCAGAATTCAAGCCCCATGACTGACAAAAAAAAAAAAAAAATGTCCATCGATACGCTGAGTGTAGTGATGAACACCTAAAATCCCAACTACTTACGAGTCTGACACAGGAGGATAATGAGTTTAAATGGTACCAGAGTTTGAGTTCAAGGTCTCCAATTTACTAGGCACCAATTCTACCACTTGAGCCATGCTTCCTGTCCAATGACCAAAATGTAGTTTCTTGGTATGTTGTTTCAAGTATATGTTACCCATGCTTATAAATTATTGGGCTGATTCTTTTTAAGTCAGCAAAGTTCATCCAAATATATTTTCTCTAAAGGCAGTTGAACTCAGATTGGCCCTTACTGAGCTCCTCCTATTGCCAAGATGTTTTCTTTGATGTCTTTAAAAAATTGCCACTTATGTACTTCAGAAACCCAACATACTTGCACTTTAGTATATTTACAATGTTTATAAAATGGTATGTCGAATGTAAGTTAAGCTTGATTCTACCTAATTGTCCAGGAAGGCTTGAGTTAGGTATTACATCTAGAAATGAGTCATGATATAGGAATACTTTACCAAGTAAACAAAATATGGAATTGAATTTTATTGAATAGATTGATCACTGGGTTCAATGAAATAAGGTTAAGTGTTTTTGGACTTGGATAGTAGAGAATGATTTTAATCAGAAGAGGGAAACAAATCAGAAAAAAACAGATAAAGGAATACAAGTCGTTCTGTCGAAAATCGAACTTTACAACTTTGGTGGGGGTTGGGGGGAGGATCCGGTGGAAGGAGGGGGGGAGTATAGGAAGGGATGGGAAGGGGAAACAAAGAGGAGGCAACAATGCTTGATAAGAAATGTACTCATTATCTTGCCCATGTATTTGTAACCCCTCTGTACAGTATGTTCACAATAAAAATAAAATAAAAAAAGAAATGTACTCATTATGTTTCCCATGTAATTGTAACTCCTCTGTATGGTATTCTCACAATAAAAAAAAAGGAATTTGCACTGATCTGAATTAAAAATCAGCGGTAGTTGATAGATGGTTTGATGGTTCTCTTTTTCTATTTTTCTTAATATTTTTATTGTAAAGATGCTATACACAGGGTTACAATTACATGAGTAAGGTAATGAGTACATCTCCTGTCAAGTATTGTTACCCCCTCCTTTTTTTCCCCTATTCTCCCTTCTCTTCCCACCTTCCCAACTCCGCGCCCCCCCCCCCCCCCCCCGCCAAGTTGTAAAGTTCGTTTTCAACATAGTGTCTTGTACATCTCATTGTTACACTGGGTCAACCTGTATCCTTATTTCAGCATTTTCCCTTCCTCTCCCTAAATTAGAAAAATGTATATACAAGATGCAGGACACTGGAATCAAATAACAGTGACAACAAGGGTTATACCGGCCTCTGTTGTACAAAATTTATTTTATAGCCAGCTTTGGAACTTTTCACCTATCCCAAATGTGGCTGAGAAGGCTGAGTCATCGAATAGGTTTTATAGAGACGCTTATGGATGGCTTTAAAAGGCCTACGAGTCTGTGGAATATGGGAGCTAGGAAACCTAGGTAAAGGGTTTCTATATTAGCACAAGTATGAAAATAAAGGCATTTGTACCAAAATAAAGTAGGCATGAAGAGGAAAGGGCCAAGTGAAGGAGTATTTGGGTGGCTTTACAAAAAGATACTGGGATGTAGAAAGCAAATGAAGAGTTAGTCCTGTTTTAGCTTGAGTTCTTTAGCTTAGGTAGTGCTACCATGAACAAAGGGAACCAAGATGTAGATGGCTGTGAAGATTTGAACTTGGTGAATGTGTTTGAGTCTGGAGTGATGAGAAACCTGGATTGGAAATAGGGATTGGGATTCATTAGCATGGCAAGGGATCCCCAGGCAAAGGACAGGATCAGAGGGGCACATGTGGGTGGTCTTAAATCTCATGACTGCAGTTACATCGATATTTGATAGAGAATACCCATCCAGAGAGAAGGTAATGTCATGGGCTGGGAAGGTGGCTCAGTGGTAGAGCGCTTGCCTTGCATGCATGAGGCCCTGGGTTTGATTCCTCAGCACCACATAAGAAAAAAGAAAAAAGCCAGAAGTGGCGCTGTGGCTCAAGTGGTAGAGCGCTAGCCTTGAGCTGAATAGCTGAGGGACAGCACCTAGGCCCAGAGTTAAAAAAAAAAAGAAAAGAGAAGGTAATGTCAGGTGGGGGTGGGGTATGGTTTTATAATGAGGGACAGGATAAGTTATCATAACTTCTTGGAGAAATGTTTACTTTAGGACTTACAGGGAACAGAACATGTTCCTGAATCAAATATGCAGTTGACCAAAGATTTTCTTTCATATATTATATATACTTTATAAATGTGTGTGTGTATATATGCTTTTCAATTTTGAGTTTGTTATCATACTGGAGATTCTTCAGAAATGTTCTTAGAAATGCTTCTTTTAAAACAGTATTGTTATTGTAAAGGTGATATACAGAGGGGTTCCAATTATATTACGTCAGGTAAAGAGTACATTTCTTTTGGGGTAATGTCACCCCTTCATTCGCAGAAATGCTTCTTAATTAACCCAAATTAGATGTAGACAATACCTCAGACATTTATGATGACAAACACAGAAAAAAAGGACTGATTTTGATATCAGATCAGAATTTCAATTATACGTATTCTACTTTCATTTTTGAAACTTTCAGCATTTGATTGCCTTATTTGAACTGTAACTTTCTCAACTGTAAAAGAAGGAATAATACCCTTTACTGTCTTGTTCTAAGGACTAAGTTAAATTATGAGTATAGGGATGATAGCTATCATTACCTATTGCTGTACTGTGGACTAAGTACTATTCTGATATCTCACATTTATAGCAGATTTGATCTTCTTAAGTACACCACCAGTAGGCTCCAGTTCATGCCTACTTTACAGATAAAGAGATTGAGGTCTAGTGCTTTAAATAATCTGCCCCAGTGATGAATTTGTGTTTAAAGATTCTAAACATTTTTTTTCCCCCTTGAACACATTTCCCTTAAAGGAAGCCTTGAGCATAGGCTTATTGTTCTGGTGTTTGGATGCTTCCAACATATATGCCAATGAGGGTAGCTACAAGGATTTTCTAACACTGGCTAACATGATTTCATGCTCTCTTAGCATGGTGATGTTCTAAACGATGTCTCCCTTTCAGCCTGTGAGGTGGAAGCGGGAAAGGTGTACCAGGTCTCTTCAGAAGAGCACATGCAGCCCTTCAAGGAAAACATGGAGCAGTTCATCAGTCAAGGTGAGTTGCAGAGATCTAATGTTTTCCTTTCTCCATCAAGACATACTGATTTAAAGGGGATTATTCAGGCATTAAACAAATACAAGTAAAACAGATTCACTGTAGTCATGTCACAGGATGTGAGATGGAAGCAGGTTGCTAAGCATAGTGTTCTGTGGAAATGCTAATTATTGGCTGGATCTGTGACAGCAAGTATACTCAATAGTACTTAAAACACTGTGTATTTATTAGATTGTTCATTTAATTGTTCAAGATGCATTGTATTTAGTTCAGGGCTGTACTTCATGCCCGTCTATAATCCTAGCTAATTAACAAGCTAAAATCTGAGGATCATGGTTTGAAGCCAGCCAAGGCAAGAAAGTCTGTGAGACTCTTATCTCCAGGGAAGTGCCAAAATAACCAAAAGCCAGAAGTGGAGCTGTTAGGGTTAAGAGTACTAGCCTTGAACAAAAAAAAAATTAGGGACAGGACCTAGTCCCCGAGGTTAACTCCCAAGACTGACAACCCCCTCCTCAAAAAAAGAAAAAACGATTCAAGCCCCACGGCCACTGACTACCACCACCACCAACAAAAAAGTTTCACTGTACTCATAATCTGACTTGAAACTTCTTTGTACAACTACTTAAAATTAAAAAAATTACTTTTAGCTCAAAAATTATATGCTTTTTTGTTTTAAAATCTGATATTATTTTAAGGTGTCTTATTTTTGTTGTTGTCACTGTTTTTTTGTGGTGCTTTGAAGATAATTCAGGGCCTCACCTACATTAAGCATCCATTCTATCACTGATTTATGTCCTAGCCCCTTCTCGTAACTTTTCTGTATTCTTATGATCTTAGTTCAATCATGTACTTAGTTGGTTTATCAAAGCATTGTATCTAAGAACAAAGATTATTGATGTTTTCAATCTTTAGGATAACCTTAACTTTTTTGTAGGGTGGATTTTTTTAACACCTTTCTTCTAGGATGCTTACAAAATATCATCTCATTGGTTCTTAGTATATTTCTATATGATAAACAAGAATGAAAAATTTTAGTAAGATACTAAACAAATAATTCTTTGGAAGCTATCACAGAAACTTTTTTTTTTCCTGGATGTAGAGCTTGAACTTAGTTCACTGCTTCATAATCTTACTCAGTTTGCTTCCTCAGCTGGTACTATACCACTTGAGCCTTTCCTCTATTCCTACTTTTCCTAGTTACTTTTGAAATGGAGTCTCGCAGACTTTTGTTAATAGTCCATCTTCATACGCTGATCTTCTGGATCTCAACCTCCTGAGAAGCTTGGATTACAGTTGTCGGTCACTGCAGCCCAACACCTTTTCTTTTTTTATCCTTTTGTAATTTATTTTTAAAACTTATTTTAAATAGTTGAACAAGGCAGTTTCTCCATGTCAATTTATGTGTACAGTGCATCTTGATCTGTGTCACCCCTTTTATTATTTCTTCCTGCACTTATCTCAACCCATCAATCCCCCAAGTGCACATATGTACATTAAATATGAATGTACTTGCCCATCATTTTCTCCATCCCTCCCCCTTTCTGTATGTAGCATACCAGTTTGTTAATATTCATTTTGTGAAACTGTCAGTTAATTGTTCCCTAAAGAAATTTAGTAGTTTTTGAAATTTTCTGAGAGCAAATCATTGTTTATTTTAGGTAGCCCAAAGCAGATTTATTTTTTTATTTTTTATTTTATTTTTATTGTGAAAATACCATACAGAGGGGTTACATGGGCAAGATTAATGAGTACATTTCTTATCAAGCATTGTTGCCTCCTCCTTTGTTGCTTCCCCTTCCCATCCCTTCCCATCTCCCACTCTCCCACCCCCGCATCCCCACCAAAGTTGTAAAGTATTTTTATAATAGAATGTATTCATATTGATGCCTTTCTAAGTATGTTTACATAGGACATTTGTTCTAATTTTTAATATGTCTAATGATTAATCTGTAAATTTATATAAGCAATATAAATTACAAAAAGGGAAAAGGGGAGCTGGGAATGTGGCTTAGTGGTAGGGTGCTTGCCTAGCATGCATGAAGCCCTGAATTGGATTCCTCAGTACCACATACACAGAAAAAGCTGGAATTGGCTCTTGGCTCAAGTGGTAGAGTGATAGCCTTGAGCACAAAGAGGCTCAGTGATAGTGCTCAGGCCCTGAGTTCAAGCTCCAGGACTGGCAAAAAAGAAGGAAAGAAAGAAAGAAAGAAAAGAAAAGAAAAAATTCCCTACTGCCAGCTCAAATGATCCCTGTGAAATTTTGACAGTCTTAGCAAATCGTTGAAACTGTTCTATCCCAACAAGACACTAAGTTATGAGTTAGAAGATTTTTTATATGCCTTCAAGAAAATACTGTCTTGAAATATACTTTAAACATTAACCAGCCCAAACTTTAATATTCTGTTTTAAGTGGTGATTTAGACACTTTGCTAATTTCCTAGGGATTAAGGATTTCTTTTTTTTAAATGATCATTTCACAAAAAAATTATAATCAACTACTCAGCTCCACTTTATCTTATGATAAATCTTTTGTGGGCCATAATCTTCTGTGGGCCATAAATATGACCCACAGAGAAATGATTATAAAACAACATCTTTATTTACTTCAGGATTTTTTTCTCTTTCCTGCCTTCTTTCTGTCTTTTCTTCCTTCCTTCCTTCCTTCCTTCCTTCCTTCCTTTTGTTCATTCGTTCATTCCTTCTTTCTTTCCTTCCTTCCTTCCTTCCTTCCTTCCTTCCTTTTCTTCCTTCCTTCCTTCCTTCCTTCTTCTTTCTTCCTTCCTTCTTCTTTCTTTTCTTTCTTTCTTGCTTGCTTGCTTTCTTGCTTTCTTTTGTTCTTTCTTTCTTTCTTCTTCCTTCCTTCCTTTCTTCCCTCCTCCTTTATTTTTTTCCTTTTTTTGTTTTGTTTTTGTTTTGTTTTGTTAGGCTTGGGGCTTGTACTCAGGGCCTGAGTGCCTGAGTGCTTTCCCTGAGCTTTTTCTCTAAAGGCTAGTACTCTGCCACTTGAGCCACAGTGCTGCTTCCTGTTTTCTGTCTATTCATTGGAGATAAGAGTCTCACAGACTTTACTGCCTAGGTTGGCTTTGAACCATGGTTCTCAGATCTCAGCCTCTTGAATAGCTAGGATTACAGGCTTAAGCCACCGGCACCTGAGTAGGATTTTCTTTTCATTGATTTTGCTTTCTGCTCCATGGCTCAGTGATTTTGAAACATCAAGTCATCTATTTATCATATCACAACTGAGGTTTCAAAATTTTGCAGAATAAACTAAACATATTATGATTACATTGCTTGAAATGACCTTTATCTTTGAACTTCTGTGTCAAACAAGTATGTGTACAGAGGAGAAGAATGGAGAGAATATTTACATAAATTCCTAGAACAGTTGCTTGTCAAAAGAAAATTGAAAGTCATTGCTGTACTTGTTTTAGCTAATGGAATTTGGAATTTCTGTGTGATTTTTAAACACATTGAAGCATTAATTTAATCCCTTTCCTTAATTTGATCTTTGAGTTTCTTTTAGACTATCATTCTTTATTTTTAGACAAAAGTTATAGTGTTGTTGAGTGTTTATCTACTGTATGGGAGGCCTAGGGTTTAAACTTTGCAAAAGAAATAAATATATGTAAATGGAAAAGCTCAGGGTCTACTCACTTGTAATTATGTTGAAAGAATGCTATTGCAGAGTTCCAAATTCTTACCATTACTGAAGGAGGTTGCATATCCTTTCTGTTCTTTATTTTTTAAACTTTCTTTATTGAAATTAAGTGATTACATAAATGTCACAGTATTGTGGGATAGTGATACTTAGCTAAAGTCACAAACACATTTTAACCCTTCACAAGGAGAATTGTCGTTATCATGGTCTATAAAGTTTATGAACTCTACAAACTTTGACAGTACAACTATTCCTTCCAAATTGGGTCATGTGTACGTTTCTTTCCTTTTGCTTAGTGTAAGCTGTTCCCTCTTTCACTTTCACAACTTCCTTCCTATAGCTGCTCTTGAGTTGCTTAGTTCACTTTCATCAATGTCTAGTGCAGCTGATTGGCACCTCTGGTATATTTTTTCACTCATTTCCCTCTGATTCTGTGTCCTCCTCCTAGCTTCCCTTAGATGTGCACATGTGTATACCATATGTGAGGTCAAGAACATAGTCATTTAAAAACGATGCAACAAATTAAGAAGAGGTCATTTGTTTCTTGAGTCCTGTTTTCTTTGTCCCATCTCCTTGCGTTTTGGATTTAACATCCACATATCAGGGAGACCACGTGCCATTTATCCTCTGATCTTGGCATATTTTGCTCAACCTGATTTGTTCTAGTTCTGTCCATTTCCCTTTCTGTTCTTTTGTTTGTTTTCACTTAGTATTTGCACATTTGCTTGAGGGAATTATTGCTAATTAGTTGTTGGCATTTAAATATCACATTGACATAACTATGACATGAATGTTTAATTCTCTAATGTTATTGTCAATTTTATGAAGAAATTGAATCTGAATTTTTTGTTATTATATAAAAAACTTCTCTCTGTAAATAGAATATCATCTATCTGTCAAGTGTGTGTTTGTTTTTCCAGTCATAAAATAGAATTTTAAATTGCTAATTTGAGTATTTTATAATTAACAATTTTTATAATTAATCATGAGAATTAACAATTATAATTAATCATTTAAATAACATTTATGTTTTCTAGGTTATACTTAAGATAGTGCTACTATTTCCCTATCTCACATTTTTTCTTATATGTTTAGCTAAAATTGACCAAGAAGCAGAGGAGACTTCCTTGACAGAGACACATAAGTGGTAAGAAATTGCTTTCCTTTAATAATTATATTTCTTCTCATACTATAAAGTGGTAGTATATTTCATCTCCAGGAAACAATTATTGGGTAAATTTTTTAAGTATCAAAATACAAATTTAATATATTAGTGTGCTTTAATTCCATAATGAATGTCTGAGTATATTTTCATCTCTATATGAATTATAATTCTGTTAAATTATTGTAAATAAATTGATAACTTTTCTTTCTAATCAGATTGAGCACTAGTGAAACAGTGAAAGAAAGCAAGAACTTTATTTTAATGAGTTTGGTATAGAAAACTATTGTTTTCCTATATTAACAATAAAATTAAGGGAGAGAAACATGAGCTTTTTTTGGTTGGCCCTTCCCACACAGAATGGAGAATTTTTTTAATATATATTTTTTATTGTAGAGATACTGTACAGAGGGGTTACAGTTACATGAGTAAGGTAATGAGTACATTTCCTATCTAGCATTGTTACCCTCTCCATGAGTCTACTTTTTTTTAAATGTTTTTTTTTTAATTGTAAAAGTACTGTACAGAGGGATTACAGTTACATGAACAAGGTAATGAGTACATTTCCTATCAAGCATCGTTATCTCTGCCTTTGTTTTCCCCCTATCCCTTCCCTCCCACCTTCACAACTACACCCCCCCCCAGCCTAAACTGTAAAGTTCGTTTTTCAACATAGTGTCTTGTACATCTCATTGTTACAATGGGTCAACCTGTATCCCTCTTTTGTTTTTTCCCCTTCAGAATGGAGAATTTTTTTATCAGACCAAGCACAAAAAGTTCATCAGAAGTCCCCCTCCGTTCATTCAAATTTTCTTTCTCTCTTAGGCAAATTCTCTGGGAAAAAATGTCTTGGTGTGTATGTGTATACGTACATAGTTATATAGGTATTTATAAGCATATATACATTATATATATGGTTGATATATTTAAATTGATATCTATATCTATAGATAGATAGACAGGCAGGCAGGCAGACAGACATTGGAATCATAGATGCTGCAAGGATCGAATTAGCTATACAAGCTGACAATTCCAGTAGAGGCTGACGTTGTGATCCTGAGTATGAAGTCTGGTGACAGTTTGGGGACAGAATTCAGTCTATTTGAATGCTGAACCTAAGGCCTATACTAACTGGATAATATAAAAGGGAAGTTGCTTTTTATAAATTCTAGTGATTCAAATGTTAGTCACATCTAAAAATTGATATCCTAACAACTAGACTAATGTTTGGCTCATAAATTATCCAAGTTGATGTGAAAATTAAGCATCACATCCACTAGAGAAAATTTATTACTCTTTAGGAATTTTTTTTTTTTACCAAAAATGTTGTCATTACTGTCATTCCCTTCTGTGAACAAATGCCACATTCCATTCTTGATTTGATATAAAATATTGTCCTAGACAGATTGGTTGAAAAAATTGCCCATTTTCTACAAGAAGCAAAAAGTAAAGCAAAAACCTGACATTAATAAGAAAGACAGACACATTTCAATTCATGGTCATGACAAAATTGTAAATTAAAAGAAATGAAAAAAACAAAACAAAAACAGAAAATGCATTTTAAAAGCTATATTTTAAGTCAGGAATGAAAATAAGAATATTAGGTAATAGCAGATACTTTACATTCTATTTGTTCAACATTTTCCCAAATGTATATATCTACAACTTATCAACATTTCTATGTAACCTGGGAAATTTCAGTAGTAATTCTGTGGAGGTAATGCACGATAGAACACAGCTCTTAGAAATGCAAGGAACAGGAGCAGTAAGCAAGCTTGATGAGATTGGCTTGGGAAGTAGAGAGGGAGAATGAGGTAAATGCAGTGAATTTGATTAAAGGATTTACATAACTGAACATATCCAATTGAAATCTCCTACTACAGTTGGAACTAATAAAATATAAAATACAAATTTCAAAAGAACTCAGGTCACATGCTATATTCTTTTCCAAAGTATAGGCTTGTATCCATAGGCTTGTATACCAGCCTCAGAGAGTATACTTCTCTTGCTAGGCCTATATGTATAAGACATAGAAGCATTTCAGCCTAGGGTGCTGAGGACAACTTCTTCGCCAAGATGGCTGGCCAGGCTCTTCTCAGGAATGATGAACTTTGGCCCAGATTCTAGAGTTCCATCTCTCATTTTATTCAAGTCTGGGCAATTTTATGGACCTTAACCCCAATAATAGAGCAACAGATGTGTTTTCTACCTATTTAAGCATTTTTAGCACCTAAGGTCCTATTTTTTTTTCCATGATACTCCCTTTTTGTGTTTAATTTAGCCAAAGGTCTCCTTAGCCAAGGCTCCCTACCAGAACGGAAGTAAGACATACACACACTGTATTCTTATCATTTCAGTAGCTTCAGCAAAGCCAAGAGAAAGAGAAAAGGGGGGGCAGGGGGGGAGAAAGAAGGAAACAGGGATGTGTATTTCTTCAGGCAGAAGGTTTCTCATTCTTCCTTCCATTTGTTTTGTTATTGGTAATCTCATTTGTTTCTAACAAATCTCATTGGTTTCTCCCTGGCCTTTTTAAGTACCTGCATTTCAGCTTTCCATTAGCCCTTTGACCTTAAGACAGAAAATATAGAGCCATTTTAGTTCTTTTAGCATGTTGAAAGGCTTTTAATCCAAGGAATTTTCTGTTTACATTGTTTTGTAAATCTAAGTAACTATATTCATTCTTAAGAAAATATTTGTCACAAGACAAATTTCTGTGTTTGGACTTTTAGAAATGACGGAGAGCTATTTATAAATAGCAGAGTAAGGAGTTCAGAGCATCACACTATCCTGCCTTTGCTCAAAGCATGATCATATAGTCACCAACCGAGAAACTTTCCCTATATGTAAAGAGAAGTTTCACTAAGGTTTACCATGTGACTTAGCTTACCATGTGTGCATCACATTTGTGAAAGAAGGAAGGACAGTGTGATGGCTAGAGCCTGGCATTTCTTCTGAGCCCAGACCCATCACTCCACGAGTACAATAGCATAAGCCACAGGAAGTACCTTGACCTCAGCTTCCTTCCTTGTGAAGAGAATGGAACCTCTGCTTTTCTTCATTCTATGTAGGAAGGAGCTTTAGGAACAGGGCCGAAGGATTGGGACACCTTGCTCTATGTAAGGTGGAAAGCTGATTCCAATAGGACTGTAAGAGGCCTTACGAGAAAACATTGTGAAAACTTCATACACTCATAGAGGAACACACACACACACACACACACACACACACACACACAGAGTATATCAGCTTGCTGTTAAAGAAATTGCAATTTTCTTCTTGTGTTCTATGACTTTTGCACCAAATGCTGGAGCACCACCTTTGTCAAACCAACCCTAGTATACTTTAAATCATGCATAGATGCAAACACAATGATGGCTGGAAACTTCAGCACATCATTATCATCAATGAGGAGATCATCTAGTCAAACACTCTATGAAGTAACCTGAGTTAGTTGATTGCAGTGACTAACTGGATCCAGTAGACAACTACAGAATATTTCACCCAGCAACTGCACAGTACACATTCTTCTGGGAAGCCCATGACACATTCTCTAAAACCGGGCTTTTATCAAGAAAATAATGTTGTGTACAGTAGATATTGCATTTTTCCAGATCACTTTATAAGTTCATAACTGAAGATATTTTTAAAAAAAGCTTAGTATCTATTTTAAAGCCAGAGCTATCTCTTCTTATGGTTCGCTTATTGCCATTATAATGTCATGTGCTAATTCTCACTGTTTACTCATGCATTTTTCTGTTAACTTAAAAGTAGAAAGTGAAAGTCCTGTTTAGCTTATAAGTTATAGCTAACTTCAAAATGTTTTCTGGGCTTCTTTAAGTCCCACAGATGAAAACAATATCTAAGTTATAATTAAGTTTTGAAATAAAAATGAGCAGATTTCAGAAACACAGTTTATTCCAGCTATACATTATTTCAATTTCACTTTTAGACCTGAACAAAGATCATATAAATAATTAAAAAATGAATATACAGCTTTTTGATTAGAAAATTTACATATGTCAGTTAATTTAGCTGATGTTCTAGACTGAGGGATGAAAAGCTCAAAGCTGAAACAACCTTCTTGAGTTAAAGGCAAGCAAGATGCAAGAGCCTTCTTCACCTCTAAATGGATATTTTGTTTGTGATTCTTTCTACCTGCTGAAGTATTTGTTTTGAAGATGCTCTGTTTGACAGGATATACATGTACTCACATACGTATACATGTGTATACATAAACAGAGACTGAGACCATGAGTTCAAGCCTCAGTATTGATACAGAAGCAAACCAAAAAACAAAACATAAATATTTTCCTTTCTTCTAAAAGCTAAAAACTATAACGGTGTGTGTGTGTATGTATATGTGTGTGTGTGTGTGTGTGTGTGTGTGTGTGTGTGTGGTGTGGTGTGTGGTATGAGGGCTTGAACCCACAGTCTTACACTACACCAATGGCCAAAATCTACCTTATAAGTTCAACGGAGAAAGTATTAGCAAAATCATATAGGAGAATAAATTGTCAGTCTTCAGTGGCTCACGCCTGTAATCCAAGTAATCCCACTTAGGAGACAGAGATCTGAGGATTGCAGTTTGAGAACCAGCCCAGGCAAGAAAGTCCATGAGACACCTATGTCCAGTTAACCGCTAGAAAACTGCAAGTGGTAATGGCTCAAAGTGGTAGAGTGCTAGCTTTGAGCAAAAAAGCCCAGGGACAGTGCCCAGATTCTGAATTCAAGCCCCACAATTGACAAAAAATGAAAATGAAAAAAAATTATTTATTCTTTAAAATGTTTTCCATCATGGGGCTTCAACTTAGGTCCTGGGTGCCTTAGGCCCTCAGCTCTTCAGCTCAACTTCAGCCACAGCACCACTTCTGGTTTTCTGGTGGCTTATTGGAGTCTCACAGACTTTCCTGCCAGGACTGGCTTTGAACTGCAATTCTTAGATCTCAGTCTCCTGAGTAGCTAGGATTACTGGTATGAGCCACCAGCACCGGCTAATTATTGTCTTTATACGATGATGATTTGACTCATCATTTTGACTCAGCAGCTTGCAAATATACTTGAAATATATTATAGAATCTTTTAAATTAGCTACCTAATCAGTTCACCTGCTTATTGATGACACAAGATCTTTTTCTACCTATACCCAACTAGTTTGGACTTAAAATCTTTCTTCTTGAGTTTCTCCATTGCTGGGACTACAGATGGGCACCACTGCATGGTGTATGGAAGTTTTTTCTTCCTCTTTCTCCTCTCTCAATTCTTTCTTTAGGACGATTAATGAGGTTCTCTCTCCCATTTAGCTTCAGTATTAGCAAAGGCATTTGAAAACATTCAATAATCAAAGGCAAGAAGTAGTAATGGAATAAAGCACATTCGTGAAATAACATTAAATCACACATTTAAAAAATGCTATTTCTGCCTATAATATTGCTTCAGTGGTATTTTGCCAAGAGAGAGACTGAATAATAAATGCACTAAAATGGAAAAATAATCTTTCATGTAGTATAAAGACAGAGCAAGGAAAAGAGGAATGAAGTCAAAGGAATGTTGGTTCCGGTAGCCTCATATAATATACACTGTTTGTTCATCATAGGAGAGAAATATTTAATCAGTCCTGAACTGATGTACATGTACTTTCTCATGCCTAGTGACTTTCACAGTGTCAGTTTGTAAAGTGTTTATTCAAGGAATGGACTTCTGGCACATGGGTAAAATGAATTGTTTAGTTCATATTAGGCATATTTTCCAGAATCTTTCTGAGTAACTATTGGGAGATGAATAGAAGACTACAGGTCTTTGTTTATCTGTCTTCTGCTGGCAGACCACTCAGGCTCCAGCCTGGTATTAAAACTGAAGTGACATGGAATATTTCTGCAGAATCCCCAAACAAAGACATCATTCCCTTCACAATATTGATAACATAAAACAGATTTAGTTATTTCCCAATGTGGCTTTCTTGTTTAACTACTTCACGGCCTGCTAGAAGAGGTACTGTTTGCAGACCACAGGAAGAGGCTTCAGGCTTCCTGGGATGAATGGGAGAAATGTGGATTTCATGCTTTTTACTTCAGGCCATGTGGTAAATTTTAGAAGCCACACTTTTTGGACAAATGAGTTTTCTGTAGCTGTGTTAGCTAAATTGTTGTGAAATCCGTTGTCCTGCAACACTATGAAGCCGGATGACACCCTTTGTCAATTATGCCAAGAATATTATGGGGTGATGGTATCTCCTGAAGTCTTTCTTGTTCGCTCTACTGCACTCTGGATGGAAGGAACTCTGTATACTTCAGAGAATGGTAGGGTTGCCTTCCCATTTGGATTGATCATTACCTTGGCAAGTGCATCAAAGATTTTCTGATTCTAACAGTTTTATCGTATAAAACAGAAACTTCCCTCTGTAACAAAGATCACAAAGATCTACTCCAAGTCCTAAGAGGCTAAAACTCCTAAAGCCTTTGTCTATAAACTAAGAAGAAAAGGTATTGAATTACTATGGGAGATTCTAGTCACTGTATTCCTGAAATGCATGCCATCAGAAATAAAGGAAAGGGGAAATACTTTGACAAAGAAAGGGCATGTTACTTCCTCTACTTTGTCCACGGATTTCTACCTTAAAATGCTGCACTTACAGTTTTCCCACAATTAGTAAGTACAGTAACATGCATCCATTTAAGAGGATATGAGTTTTATAATGTATATATTCTTACAGTTAAAAAGAAATCCTTCAGCTTATACAAAGATCATTATGTATTTTCATCAAATTTTCTCTTTTCAAAATGGCAGTATCCTTAGCTTTGTTGCTCCTCCAGCCCTTCTTTTCCTGAGGAAATGGGCTCATTTTTCTTCTTTACATTAATTTCAAAACCTTGCCTCATACACCGTCCAGCCAGGGGTCATCACATGAGCACATGTCTTCCCACCCAAGAATTTACAATAATAGTCACCAAGAAAACACAGACCTGAGTCACTAGGGACAATTCTTCCTCATAAATACCAAGAAGATGCCATCAAGTCGTTCTGTTCTGCTTATTAGGTCTAAAATACTAACCCATCTCATTTTAGAAATGAGAAAACAGACAAGCCAGAGTTCCCAGACCTGTCCAAAGCCAGACAACTTGAGAAAATAAGTGATAAAATCTGGATTCAAAGTGAGGATAGTTTTTCAGAGGTGGTTATAACCAAAGCACATATCTGTCTCATGTCTGACCCTCTTGAGCCTGCTTCTGGATTCTGGAAGCCTCTGAGAAACAAACCCTTGTGGATGAATCTTTATTAACATAGATCTCTGTATCTTCTAACCAAATGAATCGTAACAAGCCTTTGAAGTACATGTCCAGTTTCCCTGGTGAAATATATAGATGAAATCATCTTCTAGTTTTTACTGCTTCCTATTTTTATTGAAGCCGCAATTTCCAATTTTTTTCCTTTGTTCAGAAAATAAACCTACAGTTTCGCAGACTACAGCATTGGATGGTATCTCTGGAATATATATGTTAGCATATTTTCCCAAGTTTTATATATACAAATGGATTTAAATCATGATTATATGATGGTTAGATATACTTGATACACTCAATCACCAAATTTTACCCTTTCTACTTTCTGTTTTGTTCCATTTTTATTAGCCTCTATTAGGGTTTTTTTGGTTATATGTTTGTTTCTTTACCACTTATCTTGAAAGAAAATGTAGTTTTAGTCTTTGACCAGGCAAACTAAAATTTCATTTAGATTACAGATTCTAATCAGAGTGAGGTACAAGAAGCAGCCAGGTAAATTCCAGCACTACTGAAGGTGGTGGACATTTGTGTAGACCATCCGTGGGGATGACAGCCATAACTCCTGTGTCTACAGAGAATCACTACTCTGTCCCAGCTTAGTTTCCTTCATTTGTTAGGGAATTTAGTGAAATCTTGGACATATTGTATGTAACACCATAACTAAAAATTCAGGAAGTGTAAAGCAAATACAGCTTTAATTTTCCTCTAAGAGGATGCATGTTTCTCTTTTCAAACATCAGTTCTTTTCAAAGGCACATGGCTTCACATAGTTCTCTTCTGCCTTCTCCTCCTCCAAACAGCATTCTCCCATCTGGGTGAGACCACAGTCATACTGTCATTACTGGTCACAGAATCTCCCAAGGAAAGCATTGGCATATTTGCTATGAAAATATGTTTTAATCCCTCTAGTCATACTGTGGTATGCAAACTTGTATCTATACTGATTTTTAAGGGAAAAAAAGGTATTCCTGGCACTCTAAACCCTATATTAGTGTTAAATGTATATAAGTTTTGTGGGTACTATCACAAGATTGCCCACCCACCCCCATTGTATATTCTTAAACTCACTGAAACAGTCCTCAAACTGACTGGGAATTATTTTACAAAGACATGAAATATTTCTTTACAAAATAATTTATTATTAACTCTTTTTTATTTGTTTGATTTTGCTTCTAGGCTTTACATTGTTAGCATGGGTATTTTGAAGGGAATCTGATGGCTTCATGGAAATTATGTGATTTGAGGATTCTGTGATTAAGGAAAAGAGACTGGGAGTACTGAACATGTTTTTCAAAACTGGATTAAGAAATGGATAAATAACTAAGCCAAAAGATCTGACTCATTCTGAGTTTAACAGTCCACAAGAAAGAGAATATTGGATGAAAAAAAAACAACCCCAATAATATGAGATTATAGTCAGGAACCAGTGATTCATGCCTGTACTTCTTGCTACTCAGAAAATTGAGATCTGGAGGATTATATTTCAATATCAGCCCAAGCAGAATAGTCTTAGAGACTCAAACTCCAAAACAATCAGCAACAGCCATCTGGAGGCATCGTTTAAGTGGTAGAACCCCAGTTGAGTGATTAAGGAGAACAAGCTCAAAGCCCTTAGTTTAACTACCTCCTTCTACCCCATACTGTCCAAAAAATGAACAGAGATCGGAAACCTTGATAAATCACAGGAAGAAGGAAATTTAGAGAAATAGATATTGCAATAATGGCTTTTTTTCCCTAGGTATTTTCGGGGCTGTTGTCAATGACTATCTAATACAGCATTATACATGAGTCTTAAGGGCCCGGTATGGGTGGATCACACCTTTAATCTTAGCTATTCAGGAAGCTGAGCTCTAAGGATCATGGTTCCAAGCCAATTTGGGAAGCCAAGTCTACAAGACCCTTATCTTCAATTAACCACCAAAAATCTGGAAATGGAGCTGTGGCTCAAGTGGTAGAGAGCTTGTGATCAAAAAAGATCTCAGGGACATTGTCCAGGACTGGCACCAAAAACAAAAGAGTCTTAATGATATATCTGCCCACACTTGCTCAGAATATCAATCTTCAGATCTCAGCTTCTTGAGAAGCTAGAATTATAGCTATGAACCACTTGCAACCACTAGCTTTTCTACTAACTGGAACTTAAACTTAACTCTTTTAAAGCTGATTTTTTTTTTACTTTCAGAATGTAGTAACAACTGAGCAAAGATAGATATGAGTAGTATATGACTTTGTAGTCACTGACATAGAGAACTTATAGTATACATTCATTTATAATCAAAACTAGGCCCCGCAAGTTAGAGTATACCTGTAGTCTAGGTACGAGGACCGCTAAAGCAGAAGGACCTCAAATTTGTAAGCAACCAAGAATCTATCGCCAATTAACCAGCAAACATGTGGAACTGCAGCTTAAGTGGTAGGGTGCTAGCAGTAGGCCAGAAAGCCATGGGGAAGTGTGAGACCCTGAGTTTAAGCTACAGTACCAGCCAGAAAAGAAAAGGAAAGGAAAGGAAAGGAAAGGAAAGGAAAGGAAAGGAAAAGAGAGAATGTCTTGAATGTCCCCACTGGAAAGTAATTATAGTTTTTATGTCCTGTGTGTGCTCTGACAGCTTTTTAGAGACTACAGCCTATTTTTTCATGAAACCAAAAATTGGAGAGAAGGAGGTTTCCCCAAATGTTTTCTTCAGTATCTGGCATGAATTCAGTTCCGACTTTAAAGACTTTTGGAAGAAGGAGAACAAGCTTATTCTGCAAGAGAGGTAGGTATGTTCATTGGCACAATGGCATTGAAAACTGATACTTTTATTATGTGTGATATAACTGGGATTGCCAGCATTTATAACATGGATGAAAAATTGCATGGCCTTCACCTTGGGGTAGCAAGTTAATGAGGGCATTGACATTTGGAGGAATGTAGTATTTGAATAAGAAGAGTGAGTCCAGAATTGTGAGAACACTGACAATAATTTGGGAGTGGGTATTCTGGGACCACTGTCTGTTAAAATATCTTCTGCCAAGAAGAAACTACACAGAAAGGAACTTCATACAAAGAATCCAGATAACCCTGTAGGATGATAAACCCTTTTACTTCTAAAGATGGAGAACACAGACTATCCAGATAAGGTGAATAGTTTTGTGTTTTCTTTTGCTCTGTCTCTGGAATTTTGTCAATATTTTACACAATATTTTATACAATATTTTACACAAAGGTCTCCCAGAACTAGATGATAAATATTACTGAAAAGATCTTTAAGATCCTGGCAGAATTACATGTGTTCCCTAAAATATATCTTTTCAAGAATAAAGGAACATTTTTTTCTTAAGTATGTAAAATAATGTCTCTACGATTATGAAATTCCACAGTCATTAAATATTAACTTCTGAAAAAAGCTAATCCTCAAAGGCAGCCTACCTAAATAGTTGGGTCTACTGGGAAAATTAAAGAGAAATAGAAAAGCCTAATACTGAATTGAATAACATATCTCATAACATCCAGGAACTTACAAAGACTCTGCATTGGTCCTTTAAAGAAGTTATAACTTAAGGGACTAAGTTTCTAATTGGCACAACATTCCACAGCATTCTGCTCATTGTCTTTGTTTTGTTCTAATTAATACAAAACCATCATATCCACCTAGCTTTCATTCAGAGGTAAGTTCTGTTATCTGGTGATACTGATTGCTAATATTTATTGAGTGTTGTGGATGGGGAACAAACCATATAAGGCCCAAGTATCATTTGTTGCATGAAAGACAAACATGCTTCTCATTGGCTACTAACTCACAGCCAATAGAGGTCTGTCTACCTGTAATGATAATGATAATTACATTTTACCAGTGAAATATATATATATTTATATTTATATATATATAATATATTTATATATATACAAATATATATAAATATATATTATATATATATATATATGGCTATTGGTAAAAATATATTCCCCACCCATTGAAGTGATGGCAGACTTGAGCTCACTCATATAATCACAGGCAGGGACTCCTGCTGAAGAATGATTTATAGGTCATTTATGATTACTTGAGCATTACAGGGTGTTTACATGAACTAAGATTGCTATGCATCACTAGGTAGTACTACCTGGGCAGCATCGCATATTCAGTCACTTGTTTACCAAAATATACTATGATTTCTTAGATTCTATAGATTTGTCATAGAAGGCAGTATGCCTCAGGGAATAGCATATGGGAAAAGTCAAAGTTTAAATAGAAAATACTTTGAACACTAGTCAAGATACTGAACTGCATCTCAAAATTGTTGTAGTTAACATAGTTTGAGAATTTAGTCAAACATCCTTGTAGTAAAAAAAAAAAAGTAACTGTGTAAAAATTAGTATATTTCGGGTGAAGACATGGCTCAAATTGTAGAACATTTGCCTTGCAAATAGGAGGCCTCAGTTCAGTGAGTTCCTACTACTGATTTTTTTTTTATTGTGAAAATACTGTACAGAGGAGTTCCAATTACATGGGCAAGACAATGCCTCCTCCTTTGTTTCCCCTTTTCATCCCTTCCCATCCGCCCCCCCCCCCCCCCCCCCCCCCCCCCCCCCCCCCCCCCCCCCCCCCCCCCCCGCCCCACACCAAAGTTGTATAAAGTTTTCTTGCAGCCAATTGAATCATTGCTTGGTCCCTTCAGCCTTTGATTAAATGATTTTTATTTTGTTTTTGTTCTTCGGTCAAAAAAAGACTTGTTTAGTTTAGACAATGTAAAGAAGAGGGTTTTTTAAGGAAGAAACTTTTTATAAGCTCAACATGTCACATACAGCTTCCTTCTTTTGAAATTGGAAAATCATTACTGCTGATGTTCAAATGGAAAGTATAAAATCACATCAACTCCGAGAGTGGAAACTTAAATGAGAAGGGACATGTTATGGTTGAGGCATCGACAAGACAGGACTAGGTGCGAGCTCACTGTCCAGGTGCATATCACAGAAACAAGTGTGGCAGAGCAGAAGGCTGGCAGAACAGGGACATGGGGCCATTCCTATTGTCACTACCACCTCACAGAACATGGAAGGTAACGGGAAGCCTGCCACCTTGGAGACAAGGTTGGGACTGCCTGAGATTCAAGTTCCTATAAACACTCATGGCCTCTGTGCAACATGACTTTCAATGTTAGTAGTATGCTTTCAGGCATTATCAGCAGCCATAGCCTCTATTTTATGGTATTGTGTACATATGAGATGCCCCAAACAAACTTTGCTTTACCTTTACCGAACACATAACAGATTTCTCATAAACTGTCGGTGGGAATATAAAATAGTACAGCCACCTTGGAAAATAGATAACTCCTCAAATAAACACAGAGAGCTGGGCAAACAAACACAGGGAGCCTATAATCCTAGTTTCTTAAGAGGGTATGAATGGGAGGTTGAAGATAAGAGGATCATGATTCAAGGCCAACACACCGCACTTGAATCCTTTCCCTTTCCCTTCTGAATTCCTAGTTATTAATAGAGTCAATACCTCTGGGTTTTGCTTGCTTCTTGTGCTTTAATGTGTCCTGCTCAGAAATTGGCACCCCAGGAAGCTGCTGGGGCATGGAAGAAATCTGGCTTCATAGAAAAAAGACATTTTTAGGAAAAAAGTTTTAGAGAAAAGTCTTTAATATTATTCATCATGCTGATGCTGAAGAACTGGCTATAAATACACTGAATCTTAGATGTTGGTATTTCCAGTCAAGTCAAACATCCATTAATTGAACTACCTCATAACAAATTAGAATCATATCTTGTGTCCTTTGGTTTATTTAGGAGCTGTTGTTTAAAATGTCCTTTAAAGTTAACTAACTAGAAACCACCACACTTTAAATTATATATAATATTTCCCATGCCTTGAGCTTTTTGGTATAATTACAAGTAAAATTGCATATTATATATATATATATATATATATTTATGTTTATGGTATTAAACTTAATGTTTTCAAATACACATACATTGTGAAAAGATTGCCACAATTAAAGAAAATAAAGATGGGCACAGTTAAACTAATTAACATATCTTATCTTGTTGTCTTTTTTTTCCTTCTTGTGGTATATAATTTCAGCAAATGTCAAACAAGTATATATGTTGGCTTGTTTTTGTCAACACTGAGGACTGTACTAGGTGCCTCTCGCTTGCTTAGGAAGTTGCTGTACCACTTGTGTCACACCTTCAGCTCCTTTGTCTGTGGGTTTCTTTTGAGGCTTTATGTTTGGCTGGGCCTGGGCTACAGTTCTCAAGCAAGTCACTCAGGAAGGCAGGATTCTGCCACTATGCATAGCCTTTGGTTGAGAAACCCTTCCCCAGACTTCTTTTTACCTTGAAACTCAATCCTTTTATCTCTTTCTTCCAAGTAGCCTGCATGCCAGGCTTGGGCCACTGAGCTTAGCTAAAATACACATTCTTTTTTTTTTTTTACAGAGATGGAAACTAGAAGAGTTTCACCTTTTTTTTTCTTTTTTTTTATTGTGAAAATACTGTACAGAGGGGTTACAGTTACATGGGTAAGATAGTGAGTACATTTCTTATCAAGCATTGTAGCCTCCTCCTTTGTTTCCCCTTCCCCTCCCTTCCCATCCTCCCTCCCCTCCACCCAATCCTACCCCCCACCAAAGTTGTAAAGTTCATTTTCGACTTAACAACTTGTACTTCTCATTGTTGCAACGGGTCCACTTGTATCCTTATTTAAACGACTTGTTTTTCCCCTTCCCCTCCACAAATTATACCGACATCAAATACAGGGGTTATACTGTGGGGGAGGGACATACAAAGCAACAGAGAAATAATCTTATAAATGCGTTAGAAACAAATGCATGAAAGAAAAAAACATTTAAATACATACCTTAGGGTTCATTTTCCTAACTTCACCTCATCTGACCTTTTCTGCTTGACTCATACATATACTAGATATTGCAAATAAGGGAAACTATGAGACCTATGTTTCTTTGGGTTTGGCTTACTTCACTTAATATAATTTTTTCCAAGTCTTTCCATTTCCTAACAAATGGGGCAATGTCATTCTTTCTGATGGAGGCATAGAATTCCATTGTGTATATATACTACATTTTCTTGATCCATTCATCTACTGAGGGGCATCTGGGTTGGTTCCATATCTTAGCTATGGTAAATAATGCTGCAATAAACATAGTTGTGCTGGTAGCTTTAGTGTGGTCTTGTTTGTAAACATTTGGGTAAATGCCCAAAAGTGGGATTGCTGGGTCAAAGGGAGCTCTATATGGAGTATTTTGAGGAACCTCCATACTGCTTTCCAAAGTGGTTGAACAAGTTTACACTCCCACCAACAATGCAGTAAGGTTCCCTTCTTTCCACATCCCCTCCAGCATCTGTTGTTATTAGAGTTCTTGATTATAGCCATTCTAACTGGGTGAGGTGGTATCTCAGTGTTGTTTTGATTTGCATTTCTTTTATGGCTAGGGAGGTTGAGCATTTCTTCATGTGTCTATTGGTTATCCTTCTTTCTTCCTCAGGGAAGTTTCTCTTTAAGTCTTTAGCCTCTTCAGTAAATGGTGCTGGCAAAATTGGTTAACTACTTGTAGAAAACTAAAGCTAGATCCTAATATATCACCCTGCACCAGAATCAACTCCAAATGGATCAAAGACCTCGGAGTCAAAGCAGACACTCTGAAAACATTACAGGATGGAATAGGAGAAACCCTAGGTCTCCTTGGCGCAGCCCGAAATTTTCTTAATAGAGACCCAGAAACACACAGCAAATCAAAGAAAGGTTGGACA